TATCAAGGTGGTCACCATTTTGATTCAGAATTGATGTGGTCCAGAAGCTGTTGTTCTTAAGGAGAGCTTCAAGATTTTGATGCATTGGGGGTGATCGTAATTGAGGGTGATTGCACAAACAAGTCATGGAACTTGAGCCTGTGGACAATTTAGCTGCTGTCATCTGCTACATAAGATTCTGCTTTCAGTATTTATTTTTAATATAAAAAAAAGAGTTTTTATAAAAAGAAAAATTACCTAAAAATTAATTTAAAGAGTTTAATTCAAATTACAAATGACGTAATAAAATTCATTTTTCTTGTCTCACATTGGTTTTAAGTAAAACAGATTACATGGAAATCTCTTATAAAACTCTACCTCAAATTATCTTTTATTTTGAGTTTTTTAATAATAATAAAAAATCTAATTAGATAATGATATATTTAAAGAAAATAAAATAATTTTTATAAAACTCTAATACAAATTACATATTTTATTTTTAATAAAACTCTATCACATTAGACAATGATATGTTTAAAGAGTTTTTATAAAACTCTAACACAAATTACATATGTATCTATTTATTATGAGTTTTTTAAGAAAAAAAATCTAATTAGACAAGAAATATTAATATAAAAAAATATTTATTAATTGATATAAAAATTAGTTTTTAAAAGCATTTCTATAAAACTTACAACAGATTACTTATTTATCTATTTATTATGAGTTTTTAATAAAAGAAAATCTAATTAGATAAGAATTATTAATATTAAAAATATTTATTAATTGATATAAAAAATTAAATAATTTTTCCAAAACTCTACCACAAATTACCTTTTATTATGATTTTTTTAATAAAAGAAAATATAATTAGACAAGAATTATTAATATAAAAAATAGTCTATAAAACTCTACCACAAATTAGCAATTTTATTTTGTATTTCAGTATTTATTTATTAATATAAAAAATATTTATTAATTGATATAAAATGAATTAAAATAAAAAAGTTTCTATAAATAAAATGAATTAAAATAAAAGATCTCTTTATTAAAACAACTAAAAATAAATAAAATAGCTAATAATTTAATAAAATAATTTATCAAATAATAAAATAAGTTACAAAACATTCATCACGTGTATCGCACGTGCCTTTTACTAGTATATATATATATATATTAGCATTATTAATAATATCAAACATCATAACATACCTCCAAGAAACAGCTTGCTGGTGCTTGTGCTCCCCACCTTCCACTTGGAGACTTACACCAGACAACACTATACTACGAGAAGAAAAAGAATAAGACAATACAGAATGAAGAAGTGTAGAGTATGATTCCTACGGCCATCCTTAAAACAAAATATCTCAGCATATAGTAGGCCCAGATGCTGTCAAGTGAGAGCTGGGTTGGGTACTGGAGATCTGGATTTGAACAAGAGTTGAGTTGGGTCCTGGAGGTCTGGCTTTGAACCTAACCTGGGCCAAACTCGGCAACCCAAACAAGATATCAGCTGATAGGTGAGACCTATTTTAGGCCTAGTTGCAGATAGTTTAACTAACTTAGCACGTCTAATGTCAACCAAATTGTTTCTGAAATTGGATTTTATTGACTAACAAAACCGGCAGACCTAATTCCCCACCAAAGGACTTGCTCATCTGACATGACGTGATAAAACCTGCAAACAAGGCAATTACATGTGCTGAAATAACAACAGACCTACATTATAATATACTCATTTACTGATTCGTAGTCTGTAACAATTTTCAGGAATCTCAAGTTCCTCTAGAGGGAACCAGACTTGAGATATCAGATCCAAACTATCAATACAAAATTACAAAAGAAAAAAAAAAAAAAAATTGACTCCAAAAGAACCGATAAGTCAAGTTGATATGCTTGTACAGATTCTAAAATATTATTCCAAAAAATTGACTCCCAATTTTCATGTAGGAATTTGGTTATGAAGTGAGAATATTAATTTCCATAAACAATATTACAAAAGTTAAAGTCATGAATGGCGTATAATACACTACCTTTTTTCTGGCCTATCATTCAAAAAATATGAGCTCTCAGACTAAGCATCAACATAGATTTCTTCCGCGAAATTATGCAGTGTAATCATAGACCAACTACCAATCAAGAAGCAGAAACATTATAGAAATGGAAAAAAGTGAATATTGAGACGAATCAATGGCAAAACAAGAGTAAAAATACGGCTAAGATAAGTTTGCATATATGAAAAAAGTGGTGCACAATTCTGCACAAGAGAGATGAACGAGTGTACCAACAATCGGAAGTAGAAACTTTTTCTGGTAATGGAAGTGAGTAAACATGATTCCAGGAAAAAATTTAAAGCAAGGACCATGCATTTAAAAAACTGAACCTTTGAGAAATGAACATTGGAAGCTTACAATTGGTTGAGCATTGGCAAGTCGAATATCCAGATTTCAGAAGCCATAAAAGGCAAAAAATGCAGCAATAATAGAAAGAAGTAGGATGCAGTGTTGCACTATTTAATACAAAGTAAGATTAATATATTAGATTTTCAAAAACCACACCAAATATTTTGTTCAAACAAGTATTCAACCAGGGCCACTAAAGACTACGTAAAAATGTAGAGTATGTATTCCATTATTCAATTAAGCTTTTTTTTTTATAAGTAAAAATTTTATAAAGAAAGCGCTCCGAAGGGGAGCGAAACCCAACTACAAACAAAAGGCCAAAAAACGACTCAAGCCTTCAAAGAGGCCAGAAAAACAACAATCTCCTCAATAGATCTATAATCTCTCCCGGAAACCCAACAAAAAAGGGTGGAAATAATAAAAAACTTAAGCATAGAAGAAGGCTTCTCATTTCCATCGAAATAGCGCTGATTTCTCTCGAGCCAAATACACCACCAAATACAAAGAGGAGTAGCCCTCCAAGCATCCTGAATGAGAGCCCTCACTGAGAAACCTCTCCAAGCCTCAATCAACCCCCTAGAGGAGTGAGGCATGACCCAAAGGATCCCAAACAAACCAAGCAATAAATCCCAACACTCCCTAGCCAAGCTGCAATGTAACAGAAGATGATCCATAGTCTCTTCATCGCTCCGACACAAGTAACATCGATTAACCACCACCTGATTCCTTCTCCTCAAATTATTTTGATTAACAGTGGTCCAAGCAAATAAGGCCACCTTGAGAAGAGCCTTAGACCGCCAAATAGACTTCCAATGGAAAGGGCCTCCAAAGCCAAGCGAAAGACACCCGAAAAAGGACCGAACCTCAAAAAGGACTTTAGAGTTAGGATCCCAAAGCCAACAATCCGAATTCCCAACTGTAATCACCTGACGGTATAACAAATCCAAAAAACGAGTGACCTTCTCAATCTTCCAATCCTGAAAATGCCCCTAAACTGAACATCCCAAGTCAGTCTCCCGTTATCAAGATGATAACAGTCAACCACCATGGCCTGTCTATAAGAAGCAATCCTGAAGAGCCGAGGGAAAGCAATAGCAAGAGGACGCTCTCCACACCAAAGATGCTCCCAAAATCTGATCCTCCTCCCATCTCGAATTCGAAAACGAACATGTTTGCTGAACTCATCCCACCCCTTCGGGATGAAAGACCACACCCCCACCCCTCTAGGACCACGCACCTTAAGAGAACACCATCCTCCAAAACTCTCTTCAAATTTGAGCGCAATAACCTTCCTCTAAAGCCAACTCCTCTCAACCCCAAACCTCCAAAGCCATTTCCCAAGGAGAGCCTTGTTGAAAGGCTGCAATCTCCTAATACCCAAACCTCCACTTCGAATCAGACAACAAACTTGATCCCAACAAACCAAATGATACTTGAACTCTTCGCCTCTCCCCCCTTAAAGAAAATTGAGCTGCAATCTTTCAATTCTCTCAGCTACAGAAGAGGGAATCTGAAAGAGAGATATGAAATACGTGGGGAGGCAAGAAAGAGTACTTTTAATCAGAGTGACCCTGCCCCCCTTGGAGAGGTACTGCTTCTTCCAACCTGCCAATCTCTTCTCAAATCTATCCACAACCGGATCCCACCTTCCCACACACCTCGAAGGAACTCCCAAAGGCAGCCCCAAGTAAGAAATGGGAAAAGAGCCAGTGCGACATCCAAGAATCTGAGCAAACGTCTTGATATCAGGGACCCCCCCAACCGGCACAAGAATGCTCTTTTCAACATTAATCTTAAGCCCAGAAACCACTTGGAACCAAATCAAAACGCATTGCAAATATCTCAACTGGGACGCATTCGCATCACAAAGCACCTAAGTATCATCAGCGAACATCAAGTGGGAGATCTCCAACTGACTAGCAGCATCCCTACCCACCCAAAAGCCTCTCAAAAAGCCCAACTCGACCGCCTTTTTAATCAATCTGCTAAGAGCCTCCATAACAAAAAGGAACAAGAAAGGAGAAAGAGGATCCCCTTGTCTCAATCCCCTCGAACAAGAGAAGAAACCCGTCGGAGCCCCGTTCACAAGGACAGAGAAGCGAGCACTAGAAATGTAGAAAAGGATCCATCTCCTCCACCGCTCACCGAAACCTATCCTTTCCATCAAGTAAAGAAGGAAACTCCAGCTCACATGATCATACGCCTTCTCAATGTCCAGCTTGCACAAAACACCCGGATCACCACAACTCAACCTGGAATCCACACATTCACTAGCAATGAGAACTGAATCCAAAATTTGACGACCCCCTGCAAAGGCATTTTGAGAGTCAGAAATGATACCATCTAGAACTTTCCTTAACCTAGAAGCCAAGACTTTAGCAACTAACTTATATAAGCACCCTACCAAGCTGATAGGTCGAAAATCCCTAACATCCAGCACCCCTCCCTTTTTTGGGATGAGGGCAATAAAAGTGGCATTTAGGTTTTTCTCAAAAGAGCCCTGAGCATGGAAAACATGAAAAGAACCCATCACCTCCTCACGAACCACCTCCTAACACTCTAAAAGGAATCGCATGGAAAAACCATCTGGACCTAGGGCTTTGTCCCCGTTACAGCTCTTTAGCGCAAACAAAACTTCATCTTCAGAAAAGGCTCCTCCAAAATAGAGCTCTCCTCACTCGAAATAGAGTCAAAATGAAGTCCTGCAAGCAAAGGTCTCCAACCAACAGATTCTGTAAACAACCTCGAGTAAAAATCAACAATACCCTTACAAATCTCCTCCTCCTTATAAAATGTTACCCTATCCACCTGGATCCTCCCAATGTGATTGCCCCTTCTATGAGCATTAACAAGATGATGAAAAAACTTAGTGTTATTGTTGCCCTCCTTAAGCCACAAGGCTCGAGACTTTTGTCTCCACGAAATCTTCTCCATGACAGCAATTTCAGCAAACTTCGCCTGACACTCTACCCTCCTAAGTTTCAGGGATTCCGCTAAACTACCCTGGCCCTCCATCCGATCAATCTCAGCAATCTCAGAAAAAACATGATTTTTCCTCCACACCAAATAATCGAAATCCTCGTTGTTCCATACTTTTAAATCATTATTCAAAAGGCAAAACTTACACGCAAGAGAATGACTTGGGGTGCCAACCACACCATACCCCACCCACCAGGATTGAACACGCTCCAGAAAGCCTACAGCCTGAAGCCACATATTCTCAAATCCGAAAGGGGATCTTCTGCTACGCAACCCACCACAATCCAAAACGAAAGGGACATGATCAGAAATAGGACGAGCCAACGTATCCTGAACAACATCGGAAAACTTCTCCTCCCAATTACTTGACACAAGGAACCTGTCAAGACGAGAGAAGGTAAGAGGAGTACGCTCATTAGACCAAGTAAATGGACCACCCACTAAAGGTAAATCAAATAACCCCGCCCCATCAATGAAATCCGAAAAAGACTCCATGACAGCTGTCCATTTACCCCCCGAAGACCTCTCAAAAGGAGAGCAAACAACATTGAAGTCCCCTCCAATATACCAAGGTAATGGCTATCTCCTTTGACCATCACCCAACTCCTTCCATAAAAGATGGCGCACACTATCCTCTGTAGGTCCATAAACCCCAGAGAAAACCCAGCGAAAGCCATCTTTCAACAAAGATAGGACGCATGAGGCAGAAAAATCCCCAACTGAGAGTCCTCCAAAGAGACCTACCGATTGTCCCACATAATCAGAATACCACCGAATAACCAACTGCATCCAAAGCAAGCCACTCCACAAATATCCTCTCCCCCCCCCCCCCCCCCCCCACACACACACACACAATAAGCTATGCACCATCAAGTCCGTCATCGAAGCAATTTTGGTTTCCTGAAGGCAAACCACATGACCTCCCTCTTTACAAATCACCGACTTCACAACTCTTCTCCTAGCTGAGTCATTAAGACCCCGGACATTCATTCAATTAAGCTTTACAAAATAAGGAAATGAAACTAACCCTAAATTACATTTTCCTTCATCAAATATCCAAGGGATACGTAAACCATGATTGAAATAATCTTCAGGAAACCTGGAAAACTCGTTTTGCTCAAATTCCAAGACATCGTAGAAGATTATTCAAAAAAAAAAAAACTGCAAGTAGGTACTAAGAGAAGGAAGTTACAGTCACGGGGCAGCTGCCCATTGGTTAAACAAAAATGGCAGAAACAATCATATTTGAGAGTCTTGCAATATTATGGAAATTAATGGCAGCAGAGACACTGAATAGAGAAAGCACTCTTTATCATCTCATACCATGATGAAACACAAGTATAATAACAGGAATACCAAATTCACCACTAAGGAATTCACTAATCTTATAAAATACTTGAAAAATGTTTGACAACACAAGTAAAGTAATGTCAAACCTACATAACAAGATTCATAAATTCCAGTTTGTGGACTGTAACAATTTTAGAGCGCTCAAAATCCTGTGAAGCTGACTACTATCGTGATATCAGATGGAACAATGTTGATTCTCTGGCACTGCCTTGATTGCAAACTGGTTCCCATCTAGGATCAATAAGAACAAAGACTGCAGCATCTGATGAGATTTTGAACCTTTCAAGATTAATTGATAAAATTGGATTGCGTTAGAGTAAATCCATGTTGAGGCTCCACACTTTGATTTACAAAATCACACCAGCCTCGCTAAGATCCATCATGTAAAAAGTTCAAATTAAGAACTTAATAGGCAAATAATAATTGCTAGAATTTCCTTGGAATCTCTTTTTATCAATATGAAATTCAGTTGCAATCATTGTTTTCTTAAAAATTCATTCCTCTGTTTAGGAGCTTTCAAGGATAAAAATTAGTATCATCAATAAAATGATAACATATCACTTTCCTTCATTAATGTTATTAGCTCATTTCAAACATGTCAATACGGATAAAATTTTCATAAGATTAGTGTCATTTAATAGTCATAAAAGACTTTTTTAGTAAATCATACGAGGCTTATCTCAATCTTTCATTAACCATTATCTATCCGTAATATTACTGGTTTTAGATTCATGTGAAAAATGATTATGGCATGTGATAAATCAACAATATAGCAATAAAAACATTTTATAAATGCAAACATACCATTAATGGAATGGCTCATTTTGACAAATATATCACTTTTGGATGAAGAAGTGATAAATTCAAAACTCACTGCAACTTTCAATTTAACTGCATATCTTGTACAAGCTTTCAGCTTTCAAGAATAAGCACAAGTATATTCAAAATGAGCATCAATAATGTGATCGATGGAGATCAGTTCTAAGGTACCATATTTCTTTCAACATATATGAAAGACCACTAAATTTTCATATGCTACCAATAATGCATTGATTTATTTAAGTTTTATCATATCCTTTCGATTAATCCCTAACAGATCCTTTGATAAAATGATTCAGTTCATTGATTAAGTTTATAACATGTTATTAATCAATAAACTTGGCAACATAAACATAAAGTATTTTCTAAGTTTAGACATACCTTTAATGAAATGCTTATTTCAAAGAACATACCAGATTCAAAGATAACCTTGAAGCTACACCAGAAGTGCAATTTCATCCAATTGCCTTTGTGCCCACCAACATAGGATATTGGGTTACACTATTCCCCTATTAATTAATAGGCATGGAAGAATTTTGATCACCTTTATTAGGATGAGATGCCAATTCAATCCACCTTGTGATCTTCTCATTGATCAAATTAAAACTTGATCAGATGATTTTTTTGTGTAAAACCCCGATATTTTTAAAGGATTAAAGGATATATTAATTAAAATTAATAAATTTTACTTTATTTTTAAATGATTTATTTTATTTAAGTAAGTGCGTAGATAAATTGTATGTTTTAATTAAATTCTATTTTCTAATTTTATTTGTTAAATTATTATGGTGTTTGATTTGTGGAATGCTAATGAGTGAATTGTTTATTTGATTTACATGATTTTATGCTTGTATAACTTTATTGTTAATTATTGGTAACTATTGATTTAATTTAATTATTTTATGTACTTAAATTATTTGGATTGAGTTTAAGGGAAGTTGGACCAACGGATGTGGTGTTGGGCTTGAAGGAAGCCTTGTTGGGTTAATTATTAAAGGCTCATGGTTATGAAGATATTTAATAATTATCTTTGCATAATTTTATATATATATATATATATATATATATATATATATTGATATAGGAATATATAATTTATTTAACTAATGATTATATATGGAAGGTAATTTACATATTTATAGTAAAATATATGTGTGTATATATATTATTTAAAAGATAAGTATTATTTCTTTTATATGGTAATCCTAATGGGAAAATGATTTAGATTTTTAATGTGCTTATATATATACACATAAGACTTTAGGGTTAGGAGTTTTCACGTTAGAAAAATAAGAGAGTTAGAGACAGAAGAAGAAGGGCTAACGAAGAGGAGGCCGGATCAAAGAACGTAAGAGGAGACCGGATTTGGAAAAGAAAGGCAAGTTCTTCTCTACTTCTCCTCTTAGAATTCATAAACTTAGCACCTTGAGTATCAAAATTATATGTTTATTTTGTTGATTAAGAATAATTTATTAGTCGGATTACATGAGCATGTTTAATCTTTACAAAAATTATAAAATTTAAACATGTGAATAGGGGTATGCCTTGTTCTAATAATTTAAATCTTGTATGTGAGGCTAGGTTAATTAAATTAAATTTTTGAAATTTTTATAGGTTGCTTTAAGCTTGTGTAGCATGATTAATTAAATTAAATAGATTTTAATTTAATTATATATGTTTCAACTAGGCCCAAAACAATTAAACTAAGCTTTTGGGATTTTTTTAGAATTTTTTGGGATTTTATGGTAATTTATATATATATATACATTGTTCATATATATGTACTGGAGGGTTAACATGAATTGGCATATCAAATACGGGTTTTGATTCAGTGTGGGTGGTATACCATAACTTAGTGTGTGTGTGGATCTGGGCCATTGAAATTTAAATTTAAAACAAGAGGGGTTCAGTGCATTGCGGCACATTATAAGTTGATGCACATGCGGCAATTAATGGCTTAGATGTGGTTGATGGAAGGGAGTTGATCCGGTACATTGCGGCTCACTAAAACATAGAGGATAGCCAATGAGGCGCTGCCAACACGCTCCGAGAGTGTAGAGGGCGCGTGCAGGCGCGTGGACGCATCTGCTAGTGAGACTGAGCACGTGGTGGCACATGCAGGGTGTGAAGGAGAGTGGGGTGGCGCGAGTGGGCGCGTGTGGCACTGGTTGAGGTTCCGGAAAGTCAATGTAGGCTCCGGTGATGTTCCAAGATTGATTTCAAGTTGGTAAATTTTGAAATTAATCATTAGATGATGTATTTTAGATGTTTGAGGGTTGTAGGATGCTATTACGATATTTAGTCGCATCTATTTGGCGTGATTATAATTAATTAATAATTTGGTTGGAAGGAAGTGTGTTTATATATATTTGTTATATATATGTAACGTATGGATTAATTAATATATGATTATATATATATGTAATTTGATATATATATATATATATATATATATATATATATATATATATTATTTAAGAGTATCTGGATTGACTGATTATTAAATTAATGTTATGCGTGTAAGATGCATAAGATGTCTACATATGGATTAACTTCTTGTTAAGTTTAAGTTTGGTACATGGTTGAATTGTAGGCATGGATGAGTTGCCAAAAACTTAAATATACTGCCTTATTAGATATGAATAAATTTCATATATGGGAAGCATGGTTGAGTTGCTAATTAATGGTGTAAGTAAATATACTTAAGAAAGTATGGTTGAATTGCTAGTATATAAATAGATATATTTATAAATGGCATGGTTGATTTGTCAGTGCATAATTAAACTGTTACGTGTTTAGATGATTAAACTTTCATCTAAGGTTATTGTTTGTATAGGTTGGATCACGATTAGAATAATCTCGTACACACATGTTAGTGTATTATTTTATATTAGTACATTAATGATTCGTCAAAGCTTAAATTTTGGTCATGTAATTTAAACAATCAACCGTATTACTAGGTTTTGGATTTATTGGATTATTCCTTAAATTGTAATTTATTGCTTTAATGATTAAGTTACTGTTTAAGAGGGCATTAAGATGAATGGAGTTTACTTTATAAGAACATTATAAATGGGGGATTGGTCTAGGTATGACTAACGATTAATCATTGGTGAATGGTTTCGACAATTTAAGGAACCTAGTAACAAATAGGATTATTATATTGTATATATAACTATTTATATATATTTGTAGCATCGTATATTAAAATTAAAGCTCTATTAGAGATGGTTTTGGCAGAGATGAACTGTTTATTGATTTTCAGAGGCTTGGTAGAGAGAGCTTGCTCGTAGGGTTTAACCCACGATTTATTTTTCAGGTTATTA